TACTCTACTACGTCGTCTACTCTACTACTACTACTACTCTACTCTCTACTCTCTCTCTCTCTCTCTCTCTCTCTCTCTCTCTCTCTCTCTCTCTCTCTCTCTCTCTCTCTCTCTCTCTCTCTCTCTCTCTCTCTCTCTCTCTCTCTCTCTCGTGTTGCACTCGAGGTTTTGAAATTCGGCTGGCCAAGGGACCTCCTCTTGGCCGAGCCAAGTTATTCGAGCAAGTTCGAGTGGACTTGCCCAAGTCCGGTATAGGGCCAATATACCTTAAAAAATAAAAGAAAAAAAAATGAAAAATCTGAAAAAATAAAAACATATAAGAGAAAGTAGAATAAATAAATAAAACAACTTCAAAAATTTAAGCTTTAAAAAGTAGAGGAAAAATGGATCCAGAAAAATTAATTTACAACAAGCCCACAAATGTAGAAATGCGGGCCTATTAATCAATCTATTATTTAGATGTATTTTTGGATTTAATATTTAAGGATATGTAATCTCTAACATGTAGATCATGATTATGAAAAATTAAGTAAATTTTAAAAAAAAAAATTCTAGTAAGGTAACATTTGGACCGTTAGTTTCTATTGTTTTTAGATGGAACACCTACATGCATCCATCTTTAAGTTGGACCGTTAGTTTCTATTGTTTTTAGATGGAACACCTACTTGCATCCATCTTTAAGATGGATGGTTTACTCTTTTTAGACTGCATATGTGGTGACGCGGTCCAGCCCACATTAAATAATTTTCCTTTACAATTTGGGACACTATAAAGAAATTAAAAGATTACAAAATATAAAAATAGGGATTTTGTCTCAAAACACCACCAATGTTACCAAAAACATCAAAATCACTTAAAAAATGAGTAATGATTCTATGAGACCCTCCCACACTCATGTGTATAGGAACCCAAAGATCATCATTAAATTTGGCACAGATCTCTAGAAAAGTTATCACATGGATGTGAGACTTGACTTTTTTAGAGATTTGTGCCAAATTTAATGGTGATCCTTTAAAATCCTACACACACAGATGTGCGAGAGTGTCATAGGATTGTTACTCTTAAAAAATTTATAAAATATTTGTTCTATCTTTTAAAAAATTATAGTTTTTTTAAAAAAATTATATGCCTCGAGTTGGTCACACAACTCGCGGCAACTCAAAATCTCCCATAGGGCAAATCCGAGTAACGGGAGTCTGAACACTACTAGCAATTAAAGGAGTTTCATCAGGCCTCCGAGTACCGCTTCATAATCAATCAATCTCTCTCTCTCTC